CAGATTCAAACTTGATCTGCTGCAACAAGCACATTGACCAATCAGATTCAAACTTGACCTGCTGCTAAAAGCACATTGACCAATCAGATTCAAACTTGACATGCTGCTTAAAAAGCACATTGACCAATCAGATTCAAACTTGATCTGCTGCAACAAGCACATTGACCAATCAGATTCAAACTTGACCTGCTGCTAAAAGCACATTGACCAATCAGATTCAAACTTGACATGCTGCTTAAAAAGCACATTGACCAATCAGATTCAAACTTGACATGCTGCTAAAAGCACATTGACCAATCAGATTCAGACTTGGCATGCTGCTAAAAGCACATTGACCAATCAAACTCAAACTTGACACGCTTCTAAAAGCACATTGACCAATCAGATTCAAACTTGACATGCTGTTAAAAAGCACATTGACCAATCAGATTCAAACTTGACCTGCTGCAAAAAGCACATTGACCAATCAGATTCAAACTTGACCTGTTGCTAAAAGCATATTGACCAATCAGATTCAAACTTGACCTGCTGCTAAAAGCACATTGACCAATCAGATTCAAACTTTACATGCTCCTAAAAGCACTCTTCTAATGCATGTCAGCTCAACCCTATGCATGTATGGGCTCAGTTATAATCTGATCTAAGATGGCCAACTGGTGGCCATTTAGTTCTTATTGAAGTACTCAGCTTCGCACATTGGCAATCAATTACAGTTACTGACTGCCAAGTTGTATCAGTGACTGAGAAATATAATTGACAAATTTTTATGCCATTGTGATTCTTAGAATGCATGTATCCAGTTTTACTATCGGAGTAGTGACCTCTGATCTTGTATTTGCGATGTTTGTTTTTTAGTTAACTGTAGCTATTTATTTTCAGTGTGTTTGTAACTTGCCTTGTTCGAGAATGTTAAATCTTTGCCAGGTAGTGTTAAGTTTTTGTTCGTATTTTGTTTCCGTTTGATTCTGATTTCCTCCTTGTTTTATATTCTTCATCTCATACATAATATGGTTTGACATTGGGATTACTAAAACATCTTTTTTTCATTAATTTCTGTCATCTCAGGTAATCGTTTTTGATATTTCAACTCCTCAATCATGCCATTTGCTGAATAGTGCTTTCATTCTCTCTGCTTTCCACTGATAACTCTGTACACCGCTCTTTTAGTGAGCACGGGTGTCAATCACAAATCTAAATAGAGGGCGCTGTTTGGAATTCAGATTTCTTCAATACTGTAAAAGGTTTAATTATTCACTGGGTTTTAATTTTGCTTATTTCACTGACTGGAAAATGTGCGAAATTAAAACGCACTGAATATGTCAAATTGAGCATAGGACACATTATCTAAATGATAAAACTGTGAATTTAAAACCCACTGAATATGCCTGAATTGATAAATCAGCTAAATTTAAACCCAGTGAAAATTAGTCATTTTAAAGTACATAGAGGGTGGGGGTGGGGGGTCATCCATATTATAAAACCTGGTTATTTTTTTGTTTTTAAAAAAAAAAGTTAATTTCATGAATATCACAGCGAGTTATCCTGATTTAAGATATCTGAGATAAAAGTGTAAACAAATATTTACATATACTGTAGTTAGTCATGAAAGAAATTTCGTTTGGATTTTTGTTGGTCAGTTTTGGCTCAGAAAAAAACAAACATGTTCCTTCTTATTGCACACGTGAGTTAAAAATACTTTTTTTTTGTCGTAATTTTTGAATAATCAAAAGATATTCTCAAATACGCTTGTGTGCTGGTTGTTTGGTACGCATCATAATTACTACACATGCATAATTAAGTGGTTTTGGTTATAATACTAAGTATAATAAATGATGTTTTTATGATGAATCATAATTCGATTTGGTCTCCAATATGGAGTTTCAAACAACAATATATGTTTTTATCCGTAGTGTATCAATAACAAGACGTGTGCATGTTCTTAACTAATACTGACAAAATAAGATATTTGAAGCAAATTTTGATGCTAAAACTAATTCCTTGAACCAGAATTGACATTTTTCCTTAAAAATTCCTAGCAAAGTAATCTGCTATTCATCCTTTTTCAAATAGTTTATATCGTGACTTCTCATCACGGCATTGTGGCGTGCATGAACTTTGAACTTTTATATCTTATTTTATTGCCAATACTGCAGTTTGCTACTTAAAGTTGTTTCATACATTTCACATCAGGTTTTTTTATGATGTATCGGCACGATTGACAGAAAGGCAGACGTACTCTATTTCACAATGCTACGATATTCAGATTTTAATGACTATAATAAACGTCCAATTACCATTACAATAATCATGTTGCACCGGGTTTATTCATAAAGCATAAACTTAGTTTAAAGTAGCGAAGGAAACATTTTCTTTTGAATAACGTTGATGATTATCGTATGAAACACGGTTCACTAATGGATTCTGCGTGTGACGGACAGCTCTATCCTTGGCCCCCTGTATATTTACATTAATTGTATCGCTACAAGTGTTTTATCACAAACTGAGTAGCAATTGCAAACCATTGAAGCGTCTCATTCAGCTGTTCTAAGTTGATGACAGTACCCTCTTCTTATCTCCATGTTTAAATATTTAAATGCATTTTAGAATCAGATTTCTGTGGTTTCCATTTATTCACATTATATGCCATGTTTCCATCAGTTACATTCAGCTCTTTTTTTACAAATCGTATTTTGTTGGAACTTGTGTGCAGATTACCTATTAACCTTTTCACCACCAGACTTTCTCACCCAATTCATTCTGCATTTTTTTGTTGTATTCTTCAATATTTCAGGAAATGAACCCTAATTTTGGAGTCAATTAGTATTTTTTACTCTAAAAATTTGGCTATTTTTGTCCAAATTTCTGAAGGAAGTGCAGGCTATAAACAGGACTATTTTGTGAATTTGTGATGAAAAGAGGTAACTGGTGGTGAATAAGTTAACTGCTTTCATAATTATGTTCGCAAGTGTCACATGTTTATAACTGACATTCATCATATTTCGTCTTCGCAAATTTTTCAAATCATCAAAATCATAAAAAAAAACAATTTTAGTGCAAAACTTTAGAAGTATACATGTTGGCGTCACAAAATAAATGTTTCTGGTAAAATTGTTTTGTAAAAACATTTTTGCTAAAATATTTGACAACGCACAAATTTCGTAGGTTTAATCAATTTGTGAACAGAGGGCGCTGTGCAGTGGCGATATAAGTGGAATACTTTATTTCCGTTTGGAATTTATTTTCGCTGAAGGGATGATTCAGTGAAAATAAAATCCAGCGAATATACTTTTTTTCTTATATTTCACATGTAACTCATCAAAAATCAGTGAAAATAAATTCCATACAAAACACTCTAAAAAAGCTTTTCAGCGAAAATGAATTCAAGCTATAATAAAGTATTCTACAGTGAGTGAAATAAAAGATTATAACTCACAATTAGGTAGTGTGCACATTAACAAATAATATTTTTTAGGTCTTGCAATGTTGTGTCTGATTAAGTAATAATCAAAAACTAGTGATAAATATTTAATTATTTGGTGTTATTAGTGTTGACTTAGAAATGCCATTCAAATCATTAGAATATAAAAAGGGGTATTAAGTATAGTAATATTTTTGGTGCAAATATTTTTTTGTTTAAATAAAGAGTAACATAAACTATAACTTTTTTTTTTAAATAAACCACTGACAAAATTGTGAGTAACCTAACCTAACCCGCTCTCCTTTTGCCATTGCTGCTCACAATCAGCCCAACCCAATCCCTCTCCCCTCACAATCAGCCCAACCCACTCCCTCTCCCCTCACAATATGTCCAACCTATTCCCTCTCCCCTCACAATCAGCCCAACCCACTCCCTCTCCCCTCACAATCAGCCCAACCCACTCCCTCTCCCCGCACAATATGCCCAACCCATTCCCTCTCCCCTCACAATCAGCCTAACCCATTCCCTCACAATCAGCCCAACCCACTCCGTCTCCACTCATAATCAGCCCAACCCACTCCTTCTCCACTCACAATCAGCCTAACCCCCATTCCCTTACAATCAGCCCAACCCACTCCCTCTCCACTCATAATCAGCCTAACCCATTCCCTCTCCCCTCACAATGAGCCCAACCCACTCCCTCTCCCCTCACAATATGCCCAACCCACTCCCTCTCCCCTCACAATTAGCCCAATCCACTCCCTCTCCCCTCACAATCAGCCCAACCCACTCCCTCTCCACTCACAATCAGCCCAACCCACTCCCTCTCCACTCACAATCAGCCCAACCCACTCCCTCTCCACTCACAATCAGCCCAACCCACTCCCTCTCCACTCACAATCAGCCCAACCCATTCCCTCTCTCCTCACAATCAGCCCAACCCACTCCCTCTCCACTCACAATCAGTCTCTCACTACCACTTAACCTCCATTCCCTATCCCACATGGAGCCATGCAGCCACTGGTCCTACCACACTGCCATTTCAACCCACCTTACTTGGTACATTCCTTCTGTTATTTCAAAATTACTGTTCATAGACTAAACTCATATTTTTTTCTTCTTTAGCTGCAGCTAATCTACGTAATTCACACACAATACAGCTAATTATAAGCTCTTTAATTTTAAGAATAATCCTTGTATTATATTTTGGCAACACCAATGTTATTTCATCCTCATGAATGTCCCTGATTTAACAGCTTTCATTCAAAATGGCTGCCATTTTGGGCTTCAACACTGCAGGGATAATATAATTATAATCTTTTGATAGAATCGTGAGTTCAGTGACCCATTTTTATTTTTCTCATTTTCAAATCTCACATAATTAGATGTCAAAAAAAAGGGTTACCGAAAAAAAAAAAAATTAGGTGAAATTTATTGGAATAGCGAACAGCTATAGGTGAAAACACTTGCTTCATCATACATTATAACTTGGTTAGAGCGCCCTCTTTGGATGATTTTGAACTATTTTATTTGTACAATCATGATTGTGATTGGCCAGCTTTGAATGTGATCACATGATGCAATGCATCCAATCATTTGAATCATTCCATAATTCGTAATGTACCGTAGATATATTAACAAATTAAAATGTTCAATCATATTTTTTTTAGATATTTTATATTCAAGTTAGCTTTTGAAAAGTCATGGTCTGGTTTTCTGTTTCTTTCATGCTTCAAATTCACTTTTTATTTTTTTATCTAATCATAATCATATTTTATTAATCTCATAAATTAAGTGTTTGATTTTCAAGTTTTGTTTAATAGTTGTGTTTAAATGTTACCTATAGAGGGCACTGTTACCACATACATGTATAACAATTAAAATACTTGAATATTAATCTGATGTAGCAACATTTCGAACACAAATTTTGATTTCACTGGCCTTTTTTCTTTTCCTTTTTTTAGTTAATTTTAAACCAACATGAACTTGAACTTACCCAAATTGTGGTGGTATGAAATGCTGTTCACAGAATATTTTTGATTGTAACAAAGTTTGATCAAGACCTGTTGAAAATCGTTTATAAGGTTCAAAATAAACAGACATTAGAAATGTACCTCAAAATTGGCAAAATATTGCAGCATTAAAAACAGTCAAAGGGTAAGAGAGGCTTTGTCATCAGAATTACACCCATGCATAGGCACACACAACAATAAATGTTTACATATTAACCTTTTCACCACCAGATTTTCCAAATTTTTCGTCACTTTTTACTTATATTTTTCAATATTTCTAGAAAAGAACCCTAATTTTCAAGCTAACAGACAAAATTTGAGTCAATTTTCATTTTTGACGCAAAAAATTTGGCTATTTTTATCTCAATCCGCTGTAGGAAAGTGCAGACTATAAAAGGGACTATTTTGTGAATTTGTGATGAAAAAATGGAACTGGTGGTGAAAAGGTTAATTTATAGTAAGCAGTTCTGCTCAAAGTCATTTGCACATTCATAAGCAAGCTTGTAAATTCCATGATTGTGTCAAACTTGGTCATAGTTCATGGTTTTGCTGAGATGATGAAGCACTTTTGAAACTATTGACAATGTTCATATTTATTGTATTTGAATGAACTGTATATAGTGCACATAATACAGGAGAAGAGGAGGACACTAATAGTGGAATGCACACAGGTGCAGTTCTGACAACAGTGCTTTTTTTAAAGGATTGATTCTGTCTTCGTCTGCTTGTCCGCGTCGTTCACTATTTATTTATCTTTTATTCAATGTCTTTTTACAGGAAGTTGAAGATTGGCATTTGTATATAGTTGTAGTTATTTTTATACTGGTAGACGTGGTCATCTGCTCTGTGTGGACTGTTCTTGATCCGCAGTATAGGTCAATCCAGGAGCTACAGAAAATAGAACCAGTCGGGAAAGAAGACGTGGAAATTTTACCTCTCTTAGAATACTGTGATTCACGTCAAAGTGCTGTCTGGTTAGGTGAGGTCAAAGGTCGATAATGTTGAAGAGCATTATTTTACATTACATGAATTCTTTATTGCAGCAAGAATTATGATTGCCAAAAACTACAATTTATGTATATTTTTGTAAAATTTACACATTCTCAAATGAATGAAACAATATATTTACAAAACTATCAACGAAGTTAACGTTTTTTCGCAAATCAAATTTTTTTTTTTAAAAAAACAAAACAAGAAGAAATTAAAAAACACAAAAAAATGTTGAAAAATACAAAAAAAATGTGCAACATAATGCACAAAATTTATGCCGGAGAAAATATTGTGTTTAAAAAGGTAATTCTGAGTGCTAGTATTTGGGCAGTTTTCAAAATAGAGAGTAGTCAAGACGATTTTTTAGTGGGATTTATGAAAATCAGATTCATTGCTAAAAATAAGTAACAAGAAAAATGCATATATTAACTTTTTTTGTCTTTTTTTTGAATATTTTTTTCAAAGCATCCTACTTATCTGTGGCTAAATAACATTACATTCTTATTGTTCAAACTGTTATGAATGAAATTCATTCAATTTTGATATATATTTCATGATGAACATCCAAATTATTTCTAAATCGTCGCCCTCTAATGTGATAAGCTGATTTGTCAATATGTATATCATTTGGTAAGTTACGAAGTACTGTAAATTTCATGGAATTTGTTACATTTGATACATCAGAAAAATTGTTGTAATAACTTAACAAATTACATAACTAAATCTTTTCTCTAACAAGTATTATTTATTTATCATTATTATTATTATGAAAAGTCATTTTATTTTGTAGGTACATGAATGTGACCTGTAAGCACTGTTGTCTGGGTGACATTTTGTAAACTTTATTATTAAATAATAATTCAGAATTTATGGAATGTATCCTAAATAAATAAATCATCAATTACAATTACTGTTTTGTTTACTTTATAAAATTCCTCTGTGTTATTGAAAACATACACACTACACATGGAAACTGAACACTTTTGCAAAACAGTACACCTCATATAAACTGAACACCTGTCTCCTGAACATCTCTTTTAACTGAACACCTTCACTGTATACTCTCACTCGTTTTAGGGATTGGTTTAGACAGATTTTGTCATATTTATAAAATGATTATTCCACGAAAGTCATCATAATGAAACAGCTGCAGTTTTTTATAATTTATTGAAATAATTTTTTGTCTTATATTTTTTTTACATCAGGTGTGATATTTGGTGCTAAGGGTCTTCTACTTATATTTGGTCTCTTCCTTGCTTACGAAACACGTAACATGTCGGTGAAGGAACTCAACGATTCTAGATTTGTTGGTATGAGTATTTATAATGTAGTGGTAAGTATTTGTAATTTATGAATACGCCTTCCAAAAAGTAGTCCCTTCTAGCTACGAAAATGTAAGCGATGTCATTTAAATCTGTGTGTGAAATTGTTTGTGATTTGGAATATAATATTACCGGTAAGTCTTCAAAACCACAGATGGAAACAAAGTTATGAAAAAAAAAAAATGTCTCTTTACTTGTTTTGTATTCCAAAATGGGGGCCATCTTGTGAAAAAATTCAAAGAGGCTCCTGTATGAAATAATGGCTGATTGTTTCTGTTTGATTGGGAGATATGGATATTGCTTATTTTCAAAAGTTGACTGGAAACATTTTTAGGTCTACTTTCTCACTATCATCCCTTCTTTATGCCCGTTTCAATCTGTAATTTATGACAGCTAAGATTGTTCTTACTTTCTCAATATTTCCTATTATTAAGTCCTGTTATTTGAATATACTACCCACAATGCTTTAAAATCATTGTTTCTGCATTCCATATATGGATGTAATTTGCATAATACATTGCCATATCACATGATTTTTTTCAACCAATCACTACCTAAAATGACATAATTATACACCTTAGATACAAGTCCAGATTACCAGTTACACCTAGTCAATCTATTTTGCCAATGTGTTCTGTTTTTGAAGATACTGTATTTACTCTATTAGTAGCGCATGCGCATAAATTACAGATATTGTTCTATGATCTTAATAAGTGATATTTTAATGAAAAATAAGTAATATATAGCCTTATGTAATTTTTTATTCATATGCATTTCTATTAGAGATATGTGCTTCTAATAGAGCAATAAGGTATTCATGAAATTTTGCAGATCGGGAAATCTGGTTTCTATGCGATGTATAGCTCTATACGGTCAACTTTGTCAATAGAAAATTACTGAACCTGTATACTAGTTTTTTTTTTCACAAACAACATTGCATGAATAATTAATTAATTAATACAATTGACTGATTATGGTTTATTGATGTGTCTTCTAGGTGTTATGTATCATAACAGCTCCAGTCACGTTGATAATACGGACACAGCAGAACGCAACATTTGCCTTTGTATCATTAGCTATAATCTTCTGCTGTGTTGTTACACTAGTACTTATATTCATTCCTAAGGTAAGTTTTTCACACACACCATTTTGATCTCGCCTGTATCAACAATGATTTTACTAAAAGGCAAAATGACTGCTGTGACCATGAACACTTAAAACTACAGATGTTGTCTAAAAAATAATTAATCATATTGATATCTCGAAGAGAAAAGTATGGAAGTAAAAATGTTGGTTGTCGTCCCTGTCATTGTCGTCTGCGTTGTTAACATCTTTTCTTGTGCTAACAAGTAAATAATGACATATGGAACAGAAATGTTATGCTTATAAAAAACTTTTTTTCAAATAATCATTATGGTCATAAATGTATAGGCAAACTTTTTTTATGTTTTGCATGCATGTGTGTACACAGGGACTGGTTGCTAAGAGACGGTTGTTTGCAGCTGCAGATAAAGAGTGTTATTTACTTCTGTTGTATTTACATATGTGTTTCTGTTAAAAAAAACAACTTTTGGGGCAATGTTGTCACTGGCGCTTTTGAGCTAGTACAGTCACATGCTGGTCGGCATCAATGTAAGCATATAATGTCACAGTGCGAAGACATATACCAGGGGCATGTTTGTCTGATTGCTACTTATGCGAATTAGGCTGCGTCACATCAAGATAAATATACTTCTAGTTGTTGATAGTCGTCAAATAGATCAAATCTGAAATCTTCTCTTGCAGGTTGTAGAAATTAAGCGTAATCCTCGTGGGTGCGACAATAGTACGCTGACCGGTGCCGCGATGCCAACCAAGGAAGACGAGGAGCGGCAGCAGAGGTTAGCAACTGAAAATGAAGATATTAAAAAACAAATAGCAGAGGTGAGACAATGTTTCTTTTCAGAAAACGTATCATCTCACTCCTATATTTATCTGTCTAAAATGGGACTAAGATTTAAATATCGTGTCACAGTTAAATTTTATTCATACGCTTGCAAGAAACAAGATATGAATGTTAATTGTATGTGCATGAATGAGGGCGCCCTCTCAGAACCATCACCCACCACCCTTTGTCGAATCAAAGCCTTCTTTTACTCGCTTACATGTTCTATTATTAGAGAAAATATTAAAAGTAAAGCTCCAATAGATGTCCACATAAACTGAGTAATCCATTTATTGTAATTATAGTATACCGACTTATTCTGATCATACATAAACATAAGCATTACTATAATCTTTGATTTGAAAATCTGAGATGATATCTTTGGAATATATTTTATTTGACATTTTTTATTGCACAAAGTTGATAAATGTGAACAAAAAATGTCTGTCGTTGAAGATGTTATAAGTTTGTTATTGCATTGTTATGCTAATGAAACACACAGTGACATACTATAGCTAAATATTTGTTGTATTGTTATGCTAATATAGATACAAAATAACTAAACTGTTATTGTATTATTATGCTAATGTAGATACAAAATAACTAAACTGTTATTGTATTATTATGCTAATGTAGATACAAAATAACTAAAATGTTATTGTATTATTATGCTAATGTAGATACAAAATAACTAAACTGTTATTGTATTATTATGCTAATGTAGATACAAAATAACTAAACTGTTATTGTATTATTATGCTAATGTAGATACAAAATAACTAAACTGTTATTGTATTATTATGCTAATGTAGATACAAAATAACTAAACTGTTATTGTATTATTATGCTAATGTAGACACACAATAGCTAAATATTTGTTGTATTGTTATGCTAATGAAATGCACAATAGCTAAATATTTGTTGTATGTTCATTGCAGCGGGAAGGACGAATAAGAGAACTGAACAACCTTTTATCAACAAGAATGCAGAACAAACCGAGCAGTTCGTTACATCTCCGAGCTCCGTCACCTGAACGCTCACGCCATAGTCTGGGAGCGACGCTAACCCCACCAGTAGACGTAGTGGAGGACAGCGCTATTGTCGTCACCTCAACATCAATTTCAGTGCCTGTCACGATTAATAGAAGTTATCGTAACTCGGCGGGTTCTGACGAGGAGTTTTCCGAGTCCTATATATAGATGCAAAGAAGAGGCACAACGAACACAAACAATGTATCAAAAGAAGTTAGACAAAAATATAATAGTGTAATACAAGAATCTAACTTATAGCCCAAACTTTTATTATTTATATCAAAATATTTTAATATTATTTTATATACTCATTTAACTTTTTAGAAAAGTAAGTATATGAATATGTTAGTATGATTTTTTTCCTAAGAAAATGAAATAAAAAAAAAAAACTTTCTGTATGTTTTTGTCTTGCAGTTCTCAATATTGTTTTGTTTTTCTGTGATCTGTTTTCTGCATCTACATATATAGGACTAATTACTTGACAACAGAATCTTTGCAGTCTTCTCAATAGGTGATTTTCCGAACAATTGCGAGATCTCGCGAGATGCATGAAAGACGCGCATCGAACGTCTGCCGCAAAAATCGAACGATTTGATTTTGGACTAGAATTTCTTTATTTCGCAGCTTACATTGACCGGCCAATCTTCGACAGAGGAATATTGCTTCCGAATACCCTCACTTAATCGAAATTGCCTGTCATCAAATGTGGACAGCACATTATTAAGCATGGAAATGTTCCCGAAATACTTTCGCGTTTGTCGAATCTCACGCGATGTTTGACGCGACTACGACGCTATGACCTTTGTTTGTCCTGTTTTTACGTTCGATTTCACGCATAACGCGTGATTCTCGCAGTGTACGGAAAATGGTCTATTTTTGCTTTATAATACATTTACAAATTGTTGTCTTTAAGCAACTTGTATAACTGCGTAACAAAAAAAAAGTGTTGTTCTATGGATTTATCTAATTGCATACTTCATTTCTTACACCTGATGGCTGTAATATTTGTGTAAACTGTTGTTTCTGTTTGTTATTGTGTTTGTGTCGTCATTATCATTGTCAACTTTTGTCACCTTCTTCAAAATCTGCTTTCCATTAAGAAAATTTAAAATTGTTGATCAAAATTTGTAAACAATAACATGTTCTGTCTGTCTGGTCCAAATTTTTATTAAAATTTGCGAAATTACAACAAATTTTGAACATTTGCACAATTTTGGGCTGGAACGAATTCTACATATGATCTGCCCCAAATTATTTTAGGGGGGGGGCTGTTCAGCTTCTTGCTGTTTTCAAATACTGTGATCTGCATAACCAGTAATATAATTTTGTGAGATATGACATTTTTCGAGCAAGTCAAAATTTCATAATACATGTAGTTCTTTAGGCAGAACAGTGACTTTCATGAACTTTAGTTATTACAAGTGCTATCAAATCACGAAGACTGTCAAATCACAATCAAATCGCAAAAACTGTTAAATCACAGATACTATCAAATCACAAATGCTCTCAAATCACAAACTCTGTCAAGTTACAAACACTATCAAAAACATTCAAATCACAAAGACTGTCAAACAATCAAATCACAGACCGTCAAATCAAAAACACTATCAAATCACAAAGACTGTCAAACCACAAACACTATCGAATCACAAGCACTGTCAAATTACTGTCAAATCACAAACACTATCACATAACAATCAAATCACAAACACTGTCACGTAACAATCAAACCACAAACACTGTCACGTAACAATCAAACCACAAACACTAACAAATCACTAACACTATCAAATTACTATCAAATCACAACCACAACCACAATTTAGCCGTTTACCCTTGTGTCCCAGTACATGATTCTTGACAGAATTCAGTTCAGTTTAAAGCACAGTATTCACTCTCACTGAGATATCAGACTGTTGAACGACAAACGTTGAGTTTTCAAACCTGGACGTGTCTCTCATAACTCGGTACAAACTCACAGAATGCATGGTTAGCGGACTTCAAAATATCTCTGTGACTTGTTCCATTTCACTGATTTATGCGAGACATGCAGTAGTTTGTCGTATCAGGACGTGATTTGACATCTCAGAGTTTGTGAATTGGAGAGGCACAGGTTATTTTCATAGAACAAGACTTTTTTTAGTTTGCATTTGTTTTCCTACTCTTATTTGAGTCTCACAAGGGAGATGTTTGGGCCTCATGAGGAAGTTGTTTGTATTTATTCACTTTTGTTTTTAACAGGAGGTGGGGGGGTCACATTTTTACCTCGTGCTTATCATCATTGATAAAAGTCAAGGTGTATGAAAGAAAATGTCTGTCCTCGTTGTTGTTAATGTCGTTGACTCCGTTGTAAAACTTTTTCTTGTGGTTACAATATCTCAAAAGATTATTATCCAATTTCTTTCAAACTTTGATATTATATTTACAAGTTTGGCATCTCAGCCAAGTTCGATTATGCTTCATGTTCTGTGTATATTTTTCAAGATATTTGTTAAATTTCACTTAAAATTGTCTTCTTCTTGTGGTCAGCATAACTCAAAATTTTTTTATATGATCATCTTCAAATTTGGGAATCTTATTGATCACCATGAAATGTCAAATGCACAGTTTCGGTGTAACTAGCAAGTGTACTTTTCAAGTAATGGAGTATAATGTGGCTGAAATAAAACATATTTTGACGTGGAAATAAGTGGTCACTATGGAGATATTTATACTGCTGATAATGAGAACCCTGAACCAAATGCTAATAATTTGCTTTCCAAGATCTGTCACTTAAATAAGATATTTTGTTTTCATTATAGATGAAAAAAGTGACAAGTGTAGTTTCCCACCTTTGTCAAATCTTGCTAGGATTTTATTTTGCTTTATTTTGCTTATATATATATCAGTATATATAAAACTGCACTATTATTTGAGAACTTTTTTACAATTCATGTTATATGGTGTATGTTATATTACATTAGGATTAATACAGTACATGTAGTATTAATTGAGGAACATGTTGGCTAGTATTTTTCTTGCCATGTTTTCTCTCAATATGTTGCTGTACTATTTTTTTTTAGGAACTTTTATACAATTCATGTTAGGTTATTCTGTAAAGGAAATTGAGATTAATACAGTATATGTATTATTTGAGGAACATGAATATTAATTAATTTTTTTATATAATTGTGATGACTTTATTGTTCTTGTCCATTTTTGATGAGATTTGTTCCCACCTGAATTTTAGCCAGTATTTTTTTCATGCAAAATGTTTAGATTCATTATTGCATTGTTTTAGGACTTTTATACGCGCTTTTGCCATGCAAAGAAAGAGTGCATTTTTGTTTTGTTATTTATCCATACATTTGTTGTTTAATCTAGATTCTCAATGGATAAGGTTGTTATAGTTACGCTATGTTGTATTTATTGTTACTGACATTAAACCCTTATGAGGGCGCTGTTTATATTTATTGTTAGCATTTCTGTTTTTAGCCTCATGAGGGTGCTGTTTTACAAGGTTTCATATAAAGTGTGAACCATCAGAACTTTGGGGGGGTGTTAATTATTTTCTATCTTTACTTACTGATAGTTTTGCAGTTCCAGCATTAAACCCCATGAGGGCACTGTTTATATTTATAGTGAGAATTTCTGTTTTTGCCTTTTGAGGGTGATGCTTTACAAGGTTTTATATAATGGTGAATCATTAAAACCTGCGAGGGGTGCAAATTATTTTCTATCTCCACTTAGTTTTGGACTAGATTTATTTTCCAGGATGATGTCAGTGTGATTTTGTTTTTTTATAATTTGGTAATATTTTTTTTTCTCGGCTGGTGGAATTTTTGGAGACGAAATCCTACCGGGAAAATGACAGATTACAAATAAATCAAAAAACAATAGATAAAAATCAAATTTGAAACTAAGTAAAGAAAAGCATTTATTTGCCCTTGATTTCTAATGGTCAGTCCCTGATCTTGCCAATGGTATGTTCAAATTCAGCAGATAACTTACTTTTCTTCTGAATTTGCTGACCGTATACAAATTTGAAAACTACATTTATAAGAACCTTGTAAAAACAAAATTAGTAAGATATCAAAATTTGCAAAATATATTTCTATTAATTTCTTATACAAGAGTTGAAAACATAATCAGAAATATTATGATTGATTTTACATAAATATAATCTTATACTATTCTTCTAAAGAATGTTATCTAAAAATGATGATCTCCTACTACACTGATCACCTGACCAGCTGTAGCGAATCACAATTGTACAATTGCTCACCTGACCAGCTACATTGATCACCTGACCAGCTGTAGCGAATCACAATTGTACAATTGCTCACCTGACCAGCTACACTGATCACCTGACCAGCTGTAGCGAATCACAATTGTACAATTGCTCACCTGACCAGCTACACTGATCACCTGACCAGCTGTAGCGAATCACAATTGTACAATTGCTCACCTGACCAGCTACATTGATCACCTGATCAGCTGTAGCGAATCACAGTTGTACAATTACTCACCTGACCAGCTACATTGATCACCTGAACAGCTGTAGCGAATCACAATTGTACAATGACTCACCTGAGCAGCTACATTGATCACCTGACTGAGACTCACTATAATTTTTTTTTTGAGGAATTTAAAATCCAGGTAAACTTGTGTTCTCTGTGTTGTTGTTTAAAAATTTTGTGTACATGTACATCATAATGAAATGACATACATGGAACTGATAATCACAGAAAGCATCTAGAACTTTATCGTTTCAACTTTCATATATATCAGAGTTATGTTCCGTACATTCAACATAAAATAACATTTCAATTTTTTTAAGAAAAGTAAAAAAAAAAAAAGCTGAAATCTTTGTACAGTTTAACCTGACTCGGTAAAAACAAATCTTATACAGTAGACGATAGCTTCTCAAGTTGCTGTTTTTGTTACTCTTGAAATTTTAACCAACCAATAAGCGTGAAGTTTATTAATAGTGTAAAGCCAGCCTTGTTATTTTCCTGTATTAACCTGGAGGGTCTTATTTAAATATTAGTCAATGAACACCCTAGCCTCCCTAGCCCTTGTACTTTCTATGACATAAGATTCTGATGCCTGCACTGAAATACAAATTGTCTTTGTAAATTCAACCAAATTGTATATTGTAAACAAATACTAAAATATTGTCTTCTGGACCTGTGAACTTTCACCTTTTTTAGAATGAATAAAAAAAAATGAAATATGTGTGTGCGTTTGTTATTTATGCCAACGCTGGTTCTGATACTGATTCCTTTCTCCACTGTAGGTGGCACCAGTAGTGTTTTTATCTGTGGTTTGCTTTTTACCTTGTCAATTCCGTCACAAGTCTATTACGAAGAAGGTGCCTTTGGTTAAACTAATAAG